GTGGTTAGATGTTGGAAACCTAGTTGAACACCAAATTCTCAAAAACGGCATGTTTAGCAATAATACAGCTAAACATTCTAGTCAAAGAGCAAATAATTATAACTACGCCATTCTATGATGAAATCTCTAAGTATTTCCAGTCAATTTTAGCAAATATTTCAGGCACTAAACAGTGAAAAATGGATCCCATTAAAATTGGGGACGCCAATTTCGTAGCTACAAATGTAAAACAATACAAAACAAAGACGAAAAACATTTACCTTGAATACTTTGTCGTAGTTTAGGCATGTTTTTAAAACATTAGACCAGTTTATGCTTCAATATTACTCTTTTAAAGCGGAAAATATAGCGAAACAACAAGAAAGCCAAGAACTTTGGCAACGCGTGACGTCACAGATTGCAACTGGGTTTAGACTGTGACTTCAGCTAGAGTCCTATCCATTTATTTCATTATCCATGGTTGTGGGATGAAACCAAACAAACAGATATTATCTGATGTGGTGTACTGTGTTTGTTTCAAATGCGAAATAAAATGTGTACATAATGTATGTATATTGTTGTGGCCAAAGCCCTGAAAATTGGTTTGAAAATATTCACTATAATTTTTGTATATTGTATTTCAGTTGTACTGAAGACTGTACAAATTCAACACAAGATTGTAAATGCTATGAAGCTTTGCCCATCAGTCATCAAGAGTACAACAGTCAATATGCACCTGTAGTTGTTGTGTTAGTTTATATTACCTTAAAAAACTCAGGAGCAAAACACAAAGAAAAATCATAAGCGTGTCGTGGTTTTATATGTGATAAAAAATTATATGTTATTTATATGTTAATTTACATAAACTTTAGCTTCGATTTTCTCGGTTTAGACAAAGTTTATTTTAAAAATTACTTCGCCAATAAACTCGTATAAGATGAGTCGTTTTTTTAAGCCATTTAAAGCACTTGTAGTCGTGTTTTATCACATATAAAACGCTCGGCTACGCCTCGCGTTTTATATGTGATAAAACACTCCTACGCGTGTTTTAAATAGTACTTAAAGATCTTTATCAACTCGTGTTGTTGTCAATACATCTGCATTTTTAATCTGCATTTCTACAATTTAAATAATGGAGAGATATTGTAGATTCAGAGTGTTGTGGGTTTAGCTTGTCAAAATGAAGAAAATAAATCCATTTTGATACATGTCTCAAATCCCTGATTGGCCCAGGAGCCTTGTTCTCGTGAATTTTTAGCAGTTAAAAGCAAATAGCTTTCTGTCTTGTTTCATATAAGTTTGAATACTTCCAGGCCAAAGAAGTATTTGTGATAAAATTACCAAATAGGAAACAGGTGCATTGGGAGATGAGACCTAAAGGTGTAATAGTGAAGGAAGTAAGTGTTGAGGAATCACTGAACAAATGTAAATTTGCATGAACATTTCATTAGTAAGTAGTCGGTAGTCAAGACAATAAGCAAATACAATAGTAATTAAATTTTGCAGCTTTAATTTGACCAGTATTAGTATTCACAAGTTTATTTCTCAAAGCATCTCTGAATACAATATCCTTGAATACAAATTGTTAAATAAGTTGCCAACTATTACATTGATTGGAGCATCGACTGCACAAAGAGTCCACAAGAAAATCCACTACCATGAGTGCTGCAATGTTCTTAATAATAATAATAATAGTAATAATTATATTTATCCAGGATACCCACATCACTTACCTACATCACTACTTATATTATATATATATATATATATATATATATATATATATATATATATATATATATATATATATATATATATTATATAAAATTGTAATTTTTACAAAATTATACAGTGTTCTCCGGATTGTAATAATTTGTTTTGAGCTTTCGACTCGGTACTTCGAGCCTTCATCAGAAAGATTGATCATTTGAATTTTCGCGCCGTTGTTGACGTTGTTGTTATATATATATATATATAAATATATATATATATATATATATATATATATATATATATATATATATATATATATATATATATATATATAATTTTTATTTTTTTTTGGTTTTGCTAGTCATGATGGCGGATGGTCATGCTAAGGTTAGCTCCATATATAGATATTCCCAATACTGAATTTAATGTTGGAAATGCGAATTTGGACGATATTCGAACGTATAAAAACAACAACACTCTTGTCTATGATGGGAAACGTTTAAAGTGGAACGGCAACTATGATGAACTGGAGAGTTTTATTCAAAATACCGTTGGTTTGAGAGGTAAATGGATTTCACCTGGCGGGAACTCTAAGAAGTTTATAAGCAACTCAGATCTGACAATAACTTGGTATCGCGGCAAACAACGAACATTAGTTGTCCAAGGTAGCGAAGGGGAGTCGAAGGAATTACTGGTAAGCCTAAATAGTGAACTTATGTTGCCCCATCAGAGTGACACAGGCGTATAGTCTGCCGAAGTCTCAGTAATAACTTGCACTGGTGATAGAAGCGAAGTAACAACCTAACAACCGAGAATAATAATTATGGAGCCGAGATTCCTGTCGCCAAAATAGATATAATATCACCTATTGATAATTCGTCGCTTGCGGAGCTTGAGAATTTTATAGACGATTCATGTTGTAATATTATGAACTCCCGACACAGTGAAGTAACGAAGGGACTGTAGAACAAGTATTTGTAAATTCTACCCCCTTTAAACAACGCGAGAGCGACAACGCCACTACAAAAAATGCATTATTTGACAATTTTAAAGAGAAGGTTGAATATGAAATATCAAATTTATTGGCTAAACTCACCAAACAAGACGAAACTATCAACATAAATAAGCAAGATATATGCAAATTGCGTGAAGAAAATTTGCATCTCAAATCACGTATCTCCAAATTAGAAGGAAAGATGGCCTCGGCCTCCATAGAAAAATTCCCTGGTGCTATTGAAATATCTTCTGTCACACCTACAACGCAGTACGTCTCCATAAGCACTAAGAAAAAGGCCAACGAAGACCGACTACCGGAAAGTAATGTGCCTAATATGCAGTCCAATCCAGAAGTTAGTGTACCTACTTATGAAAATTTGACCTTGCAACCGCGAACCCAGACAAATAAGAATCGTTACGACCGCTCCCCAAAGAATTCCACTCCTTGTCCATTTCTTCTGCGTCGAGGTTGGTGTCGAAAGGGAGACCGATGCGACTTTCAGCATCTTAAACCATCTCGCAATACACATAAACATAATGTCCCCTGTCCTTTTTTGCAGAACAGAGGCTTCTGTCTGAAAGACGATCAATGTGATTTCTCCCACGCTTGGGTACCAACCAGAAGGTCGGTATTAAAAACCACTACTAGTAGCCATTTGCCACCTGCCTCTTTTTTATCCCGAGCGCAAGTGCCATTGCCACCAAACGTCCACACAGCCCAACCTCAGCAGCTCCAAACGTACAACTTACACCCATGCGACCCCCATCTTATCCAAGGCCGTTAATGGAAATCCCACTACCCTCGTCCAGTTTTCCCCGATTATCCTCCCCACTACCCTCGTCCAGTTTTCCCCGATTATCCTCCCAGATCCACCAAAACAGATTTTACTAAATCCTTCTAAACAGAGCTCCACTCCATGTATTTCCCTTGAGTCCTCTCCCACATGCATTCCTATGCTTTTCCCGATCAGCGATCTACCAGAATCGACCCCAACACGATACTCCTATTCAGTCCAAAAAACTAATACACTTGAACGCATAAAATTTGAGTCTACGTTACCCTCCACCAAAATACCAAACCTTTTAATTTGTAATCTCCGCTCCCTGACGTTCAAGGTCGACGAACTTGACGCTGTGGTGTCTTTTAACCAAACGGACATGGTCTGCATTACAGAGACTTGGTTATCTCCTCCAATTCCTGACAATTTGGCATCCTTGTCCAATTTCAATCTGTTTAGGAACGATAGACTGGTTTCAAACGGCGGAGGTGTTTGTGCCTACATAAATATCAATATTTATTGTAGACGAATTGAGGAATTTAAAAACTCTTCGATTGAATCACTGTGGTTATCAGTGAGACCAAAGAAGTTACCCCGCTCTATCTCGGTTATCTTACTGGCTGTTGTTTACCATTCAACAGCATCCCGCCAAACTGAAAATGTAGAATTGTATTCCCACATTCAAACCAATGTGGACTCATTTTTATATTCCCACCCTGAAGCTTTGGTCCTAATTACGGGCGACGTCAATTTTAGAAGCACGGGTCTCGATGCAAACCATCTTAAAAGAATTGCTGGTCTGACGCAGATAGTCAAGGTAGCTACCAGAGCTGATGTAACTTTAGACTGGTGTTTAACCAACTCAAAGGTGGATAATACTTACGAATCAATCCAATTCCCTCCCATTGGAACCAGTGATCATTATACGATTCTTATGAAAGCCCAACCTTCTCCCTCAAAGCCAGACAAATCACATATATGGAAACGCGATCTCAGAGATAGCAGGATACGGCCTTTTGGACGATATATCACTACATTTGACTGGTCTCCCATCTTGGACATACATGACTGTACGTAATACAAAATATGAATAGTTTAACGATACAATGACTGTGATGATTGAAAAATTCTTTCCCTTCGAACGGATTAAAGTACGAAAGTGTGATAAGCCTTGGTTGACGTCATCAATAAAGTCTGCTATTGGGAGACGCCAAAAAGATCTACTACATGAGGTCAGTTGAGAAATTGAAAAATTCTAACCCGGAAAGATGGTGGAAAGAAGTGAAAGCCATTGGTGGTCTCTCTTCAAAAAAATCTTGGTATTCTCAGCTATTTTCTGATGATGTTCGGAATTGTGAAGATCTGGCCAAAAATTTTAATAACTTTCTTACTGCCCTTACATCACATTTTGACCCTCTAACTCTCGACGAAATCCAGGAGGGCCTAGAAGTACCAAACCATTACCTCGTTGACGCCCAACAGATCTATAGGAAACTTAGTAAAATTAAAACCACAAAATCACCGGGTCCTGACATGTTTCCAAAAAAAATCCTGAAAACATTTGCCTTTGAGCTTGCCCCAGTTATGTCAGACATTTTCAACTCATCCATGACACAAGGCACCTTCCCAAAGGCATTGAAGAGATCTATTGTAGTGCCTGTCCCTAAGGTATCACCCCCAAAGAGTATTGATGACGACCTGCGACCAATATCTTTAACATCTCAGATCGCCAAAGTTATGGAGGATTGTACTTTGGACAATTGTTTTCCTGAAGTTGTAAATAAACTTGACACCAAACAATTTGCACTCCCAAAGAAATCAACGACCCACGCTTCGGTGTACCTTTTACATTCAATCTTGGTTGCTCTTGAGAGAGGTTCCTGTACTGCCAGATTGTTGTTTGCAGATTTCAGGAAAGGTTTTGACCTAGTAGACCACAATGTTATTATTAAAGAGTTAACCCTGCTTGGTACCCATCCCTCTATAATTCGGTGGATTATAGAGCGAATTATAGAGGGATGGGTACCAAGCGCGAACAATGTGTCCGGGTGGGAACTTTTATGTCGTCTTGGAAGTAAACAAATGGTGGCTTACCACAAGGTACAAAGTTATGGGTCCATTATTGTTTGCTGTTCTCATTAATTCCTTACTCAAAAACTGGCCCGGTAGGATCAAGTTTGTGGACGACACTTCAGCCCTAGAGATTATACCACGTTTTTCACCCAGTTTAATGCCATTAGTCGTAAATGAAATCTCGGACTACGCCTTAGAACGGGGAATGGAACTAAATTATAAGAAATGCAAACAAATGTTGATCAACTTTCTTAAATATAAAGGATCTGATGATGAAAACCCGATCTATGTTGCAGTTAAACCGGTGGAAACTGTGTCCTCTTTCAATCTCCTAGGTGTATGGATATCAAACGACTTGTCATGGAATACTCATGTCGACATGGTATTGAAAAAGGCAAATTCTCGTTTATACGCATTGCGTCTGTTAAAAAAGGCTGGTCTTCAAGAATCTCACATTGTCCAAATATATTTCTCATTCATCAGATCCAGAATGTATCCCCTGTATGGTCGTCAATACCTAAATCATTATCTGACATTCTCGAATCTGTTCAAAAGAGAGCATTGAGTATAGCTTACCCAGATCTGTTATATGATGAAGCCCTTGAAATTTCAAACTTACAGTATCTGAGTACTCGTAGAGACATCTCTTGCAAGAAATTCGTCGAATCTCTGCGACGTGATGTTTCACCCTACAACCCTTTGACCCAAATTATGGAAATTCGTCCCGGGGTAAAAACTCATGATTATGACTTAAGGAATGACAGAACGGCCGAACAACCTTTATGGTCAGAAACCACTGAACGGTTAAAAAACTTCGTGACTAGGAAATATTATTAGCTTTATAGTTAATTAACAGTCCTAACTAAATAAAAATTATTTTATATAATATATATATATATATATATATATGTACATTTTAATATAAATTTTTATGCTATATTAGTACTCCATGTAATTCAGTTTTCCTTTAAAAACTGCAAATTGGTTTTAATTAAACAGAATTATGAATTAATGGTCTATTTATAAGCGTTGTAACGTGCATGTATATATATATATATATATATATATATATATATATATATATATATATATATATATATATATATATATATATATATATATATACATGCACGTTACAACGCTTATAAATAGACCATTAATTCATAAAAATTTAATTTAATTTAATTTATTTAATTTAATTTAGTTCTTGGCTGTTAAGTCCGCATTCTGTCTTCCCAACTCCTCCAATTAAAATATCAAGGTAATCTAATGTGCCTTCATTATTCACAGAACTTGATGACCACCACATGAGGTCATCCATTTTAATAGTTCAAATGTTTCAAATGCAATGGAGTTAATAAACTTTTTTCAGTTATCGTCTGCCAGACACAAATTAACAAAATTTTCATATAGCTCAAATGTAAAATTATCCCTATAGTTTCATATAGCTCAAATATAAAATTGAGTTTTGACAGCCATAACAAAGGTCATATTATTAATGGAAAACGTACCTGTTTTATTATACAGCAGTCAATATCGCCGTTAATTGTACCGCCTAACTTGTTCAGTTAGTCAACCTGCTTTTTACGTTCAATCAGAATTCCCGGCTAAATGATCCAACACATGAATATGATCTAATCCTTGTCATTTTAGCCTGCATTGACGAGTCTGCCGTTCACATCTTCAGTCCTCGCATAGTCGCACTCATTATTACGACGCAAAACATCGGTTTTCTCTGTGATTTCATGGTTAAAAACTTCAAATTTACTTCTTGAAGCATTCGTGATATATTCCTTTCCTGAAAAAAGGTTTGTTTCGGTCCAAGAGAAGAAAATAAGCGTTTTAAAGCTACAACTATACATTCTGTAATAGAAATCTATAGTATTCACTCCTCAAGTGGTAGGCCGTAGGATGAGCATCCAAAAGATGCTTAGAAAACGGATTCCGTTGCACCCCTCGTGGAACTACGTAATTTTAATAAATAGATAAAAACTTAGTTTATCAGAATCCGTTGCTCCCCAAGCGAAACAGGTGCACAATTGGGAGAAAAATCCCTCCAAAGTTTGATATTTTCGCGCTTCGAAATATTCGAACCGCCATTGTTTTGATAGTAAATACGCATGCACAACTCAGCCAAACTCGCACTGCGCACGCGCACAACCAACGCACATACTTCAAAGTGGAAACACCACTAAACAAGCTCAGTTATGCAAATAAATCATGGCTGAAGATATTAATAAAACTCGAATATCCTCATGTTTTATGCATTTTGATGGCGTTACGGAGCGACTTTGCAAAGTTCCACGCTAAAGACTTAAGAAATTTCTTGAGTGTAGGTCAAAATGAGCCAAACTTAAATGTCAATAAGCTGAAATAGCTACGAAATCTTACGACAACATCGATGACGGATCTGTCAATTCATACATGAAGAAGAACCCGGACAGTATTAACTTAGAATGGTACCATCATATGAAATGCTGGAAGAGATTTTGTGATGAAGAGAAGATTCGTAGACAACAGAGAAAAGAAGGAAAAGGAGAAGGAACTAGCTCTAAAACTGTAACTTCCGAAGAATCACACCTGAGATATGTATTATTTGTGGAAGAGACGCCTCGTGGTTCTCACTAGACAAGGTATGGTCATTTTGTTAGGTATAATACTACGCAATGTGCACAACATTCTCGGGTTTGGTTTTAAAATATATTGAATTGTAATCAATTGAGTTATTTAGGGTAAAGTAGTTTCTATGCTACAAACATCCAACCTTGTTATTAGCGGATTTAGTGTAATAATTTTGTTTCACACTAGGTGACTAAGAAGAGAAGAAGAAGCCCATTTATGTTGGCAGAAACAATTGATGCTGGTCTTCTACGTACAGCTGCTGAGAGAAAGAATGATGAACAGATACTCGTGCAAATCTGGGGTAAAAACTGTGTAGCTCTGGAAGTCCGCTGTCACAAAGTTTACTGCTGGAATTATACAAAATATCTAACCAGAGAGACGAAGAAGCAATCGGAGACTGAAAGACCTACATCAGTGTACGAGAAGTCTTATGATGTATTCTGTAAGAAAGTAATCGAGACGGAGATCATTAGAAATAAGCAAATAAAGTATATGAAAGATTTGCTGGAGAAATTTGTTATCATTGCTAAGGACACTGAGAATGTGGACGAATCTAAATATAGAGCTTATAAACTCAAGCTACGACTGATGAAAAGTTATCCCCAACTTGTCCACCAAGGCACCATTGGCATCTGATTTGACAATGGATAATGTGCGAAAAGTTGTTCCATGTGTGAACTTTTTAATGTATTAGCTTCGGATTTGTGGATTGTCTTCAGAGTCAACTTTCAATGAGTATGTGCCAATCGAGGGCAAGAACTACTAACATCAATAGCACACGACCATGTGAATCTAGCATCTGGGGGAAGAAATCCTACTCCCAAGAGCACAGCACTTGCCATGGCACTTAGACAACTGACAGGTTCAACCTCAGTAATGTTAGTGATGTTCCAACTACTCTTGCATGGGATAATGATGATTTCTCAGAAGAAACTAGATCTGGCAAAGAGACAACTCACATAACTGGGGGCATTATATTATCATTCAAAGAGAGCAAAGTACAAGTACTTTGTTACAGAGACGAGATAGCATTCCCAGGTCAAGATCCCTCCCAGCACCATCAAAAGTCATTAATCCTTATTTTCTCAGAAAAAGAAAAACTGTTAATTTAAACGATGCCATGCAAAATCATCAATCCAGGATTGGTATCCTTAAGCGACGGTGGAACGCACAGTTTAATTAAGAAGCGCCAAACATCTTGCATAGTTATTCAATAATACATTAAAGATTCAATCAGAGATTTTCCTAGTTGTTTATATAAATATCCCTTAAAGCCCGGGACGAACTGGGAAACACTGTTCTCATATTATTTGTCTTTCCAATCTTTCAGTATGTCATATTAGAGCCATTTATACAGAACAAAATAAGTCGCGACTTAAATAA